TATTGAACCTGCTTCAATTTTTTAAACGAATATTGAGTGAATATCAAAATGTCAAATAATAGCAATAATAAAAAAAACAATAAAAAAAATAACAAACAAAAGCAACAGAGGTTTCAAGAAGAAACACCTGACGAAGGATCTAATCGTCAATAGGAAAGAATGGAAGAAGAAAGTAATCCGAATAAGATGAGTGATAAAACCAATAAGTCAGCTAACAAATCGTCACCCACCAAGTCAAACAAATAAAAGCAGCAAAGGTTTCAAGAAGAAACACCTGACGAAGGATCTAATCGTCAACGGGAAAAAACGGAAGAAGAAAGTAATCCAAATGAGACGAGTGACAAAACCAATAAGTCAACTAGCAAATCGTCACTCACCAAGTCAAATAAACAAAAGCAGCAAAGGTTCAAGAAGAAACACCGAGTGAAGGATCTAATCGTCAACAGGAAAGAACGGAAGATGAAAGTGATCTGAATGAGACGAATGACAAAACCAATAAGTCGACTAGCAAATCGTCACTCACCAAATCAAACAAATAAAAGCAGCAAAAGTTTCAAGAAGAAACACCGAGCGAAGAATCTAAGCGTCAACGGGGAAGAACGGAAGAAGAAAGTGATCTGAATGAGACAAGTGATAAGACCAATAAGTCGACTAGCAAATTGGCATCCATCAAGTCGATCCTCAAATCTGCAAAGTTGATTAAGCCGACTCAAGAAGAGTCTGACGATGAGGTTATAGAAATTGAACCGCCAAATATTCCTAAAGGTAATTGAATTTTGGAAAATTGCTGATTGACATGTACGATAATTAATAATTTTTATAGATCAACAAGAGATGTTATCGGAAATGAAAAAATGATATGGGAATATTCGAATTCCACAAAAATTCGTATTAGTGGTTAAAGACGATTAAGGTAATGAAAAGGTGATCAATGATGACGATACTGATTTAGAAGCAGGTACTATTTTGACTTCATTCGTATAAATTTAGAATTATTCGTAAAAAAATATTACTATTAATAAAATTCTTTATTTAGAAAATCTAAAATTAAAGAAACAAATTGATGAAGTACAAGTAGAGAATACAAGGCTTGAACGCGAAAATAACTGATTATTCGATGAAAATCATTTTTTGACTCGAGTAAACGAGGCCTTTGCAGACGAGAATGACAATCTACGCGAAAGCTTAAACAGGTATTCGAGAATCTGCCTGCCTAAAGCCATTTATAGGCAGACAGATCTCGAACAGCCGGCAAAATGTCAAAAAAAATTAAGACAAAAAAGTCCGAGCGATACAAGGAAGAATCGGAGGAAGAAGGGTCTAGTTCTAACAATAATGATGAGTACGACGAAAAAGAAGCTAGGGTATATTAATTTTATTTGTCTGATTCAGTTATTTAAAATTGCAGTATTGAGTAATTAAGTACCTGTTATCATTATTTGATTGTTATATTTAGGCTGAAATGAAGTCTATTTTGAAAACCATCGATGAAACTTGAGAACTAGATTACAATGAAACGTTCAATAACGTGAAAAATCTCAAGATTCGTTTAGCCCTTGCTCCGTGTTTTCCTGCTTCGAATAAGCAACTTACAAAATGGTTAGGTTGTCTCCACAAGTCTCGTCGTTCTCATCAAAGATTAATAGATAGGTAAAAAGCCGATGAAAATAAACACTGGGTGCACTCAAACAATCGAGTACATGACGTTAGTAATGATTTATAATTATTATGCTGAATTTTATTCCGATTATGTATTGAATTTTATTCAAATTATAACGTATTTTAGAAGAAAATCCGCCGAATGAAGGTGGCAAAAAGATTATATAGTTTTGACGATGAACGGATAACAAAATATGATAAGCATAGATTACTAAAGATATTATCCAATCGCTTATTTCATTCAGTGAGACAGACGAAGAAGACCTAACAAAGTCGATAATCGCTATTTATGACTATTCGTGGAGATCTGATGAGGTTAGAACTTCTGAATCTTGATTTTTTAGACGAATCGCTGGATTTAATTTTTATATTTTATTGTTTCTTCAGCTTAAAAATTTGCTACGAAATGTACTCGATGTACACTCGTCAAATAAGGTGAAATTAATACGTGAACGTAAATATGATGACGAGGTACAAAAATATGACCGACCACATCCATCGAATGCTCCCGAATGGTCTTATATCGTACAACAACAAGATTTAATATTCGATACTGATATCGACCAGGGTTTCAATACTAAATATGATGAAGAAGTAGAAGAAGTTAGTAGAGGGACAACACCAGCAACTGGCAACACCACCAAAAATGATGAAGACCATAACAAGAAAGGAGAAGAAAAACCATCAAAATCAACGGTCGGCGACAATCATAATAATTCAGATTCTGATTTACATATGGATGACGCGCAATGAACAAATCTGAATTAATTTGGTAGAAAACTTTCTTTTTTTCGTCAAAAATCTATATATATATATAATTAATATTCCAAATTATTAGTATTAGAATTTTCCATAATTCAAAATAAATTTGTCTTAATTCAAAAAAAAATTAATTACAATTTGAAATAATTTTACTGCAAATTTACCGCAATTCAGAATAGAAAATTTACTGCAATTCAGATTAAAATTTACTGCAATTCAGATTAAAATTTATCGCAATTTATCAAAATTTATCATAATTCAGAATAAATTCACTGCAATTCGGTAAATTTATGAATATATTTTTTTAAACAATTCGGATTAAAAATACTAAGCAATTCTATATTCTGATCAGCATCAATCAACCTGCCAATCAGAACTTTGCCTAAATTAATAAATCGGCCATCTTTATCACCAAATTCAGCCTAAAATCAGACATCCGATTTCTAGCCGATTTGGACTATTTCGACCAGTGAAAGATATTTAGCAAAAAGGTATTCTAATTTTTTGAAACCTTTAGTATAAAAACCAAATTGTAATTGTAAATATTTTATTGGCTAAGTTCATCAAAAAATATCTTCAGTTTTTTATGAGAAATTCTTGAAATAAGATTTATAGATTAAAGTTCTTTTTTTAATAATATATTTATAATAAGTAATTAGAATTTAATTATATTTTTTGATCATTTTTAAGAATTATAATATCTAAAATAATCCATTATATACATGATTTATTTATATAGAAAAAATGATTAATAGTTATAATGGCAAATAATTTATAAGTTATTAACTATTAATATTGATGTAGTTTTTAATTATATATTTACTTTTTATAATAATTTATTAAATTCTATATTAATAAACTTATAAATATATTGCAGTTAAAAAAAAATTAAGAAAATGCTTAAAATTAATATAATTTTCTAAAATATTAACTTGTACATAGTGAAGTTCAATATAACGGAACTCCAATATAACAGAACATAAGTAAAATCTTGATAGATCAAAACTGAGGCCTAGAACGGATTATCATAATCTATAATTAATTTACACTCAATATATCAGAATTCTTGATATATCAGAATTTTGAAAAATTTTACTATTGAAACAGATGGTTCTATTATATCGAGTTTCACTGTGTAATTCATTTTAAACTAATGAAAAATACTAATATATATATTAGAAAATTATTAAATTTTTTATTAAAAATATTTAAAATACTTGCAACTATTTATATTTTTAAACAAATTTAGTATTTATATATTTTTAAAAATTAAAAATTAGAATTTGATATCTTAAAAAAAAAAAATTTTAATTAATAATATTATAGCAAAAATATATTATATTTAAATTTTTTTAATTTTAAGCCATCTTTTTAACTATAAATTTTCAAATAAATTATAAATTTAATAAATTAAATTTAACTGAATTTATTTAAAAATTTAGTCAAAAAGTAATAGTTTAAAATTAAAAAAATTAAATTTTTACTATAATATTATTAATTAAAAAATTTTTTTCTTTAGTAATATCAAATTTTAACTTTTAATTAATAAATTTGTATTAAAATATTATTTAAAAAGTATAAAACTAATTTTAATCCAAAGTAATATTTAATCTACTGGTAAATTTTATATAATTATATAATTGAAGTTTGCTATTTATCACCACTGGTAGTCAGCACTGATGTCACGTGATTATAATTAACCAATAGTATTAATGTAACTAATTTAAATATTTTATTTAACTTTATGTAATTTTACACGACTAAAAAATTGCGTACACGGTACATCTTTAATTTTTGAGAACACCCCAGTCAAATAAATAATAATGGACAAAATAAGTGATAAGGAATAAGAAAGAACAATAAAGAACAAAAAGAGTAATAAGAAACAATAGTATGAAATGGTAATGAAAAAAGAACAATAGGAAACGAGATAGCAATGAAAAGAACAGTATGGGATGAAATGATGATGAAAAGCAATATAGAATGAAATTGTGATATATAGGATGAAATGGTGATAGAAGAAACAATGTAGGACGAAATGATGATAGAAAAAAACAATATAGGATGAAATAGTGATTAAGGGAGACGAAATGATAATGATGAAGTGATATAAAACAAAATGGTAATGGAAAAGAACAATAGGAGACGATTCAGACGAAATAGTAATGAAAAGAACAGTATATATGGGATGAAATGATGATGAAAAGCAATATAGAACGAAAGGTGGTAGAAAAAGATGATAGGAGACGAAATGGTAATTAAAGGAACAGTATAGGTTGAAATGATGATAAAAAAGTAATATAAAGTGAAATGGTGATAGAAATAATGATATGACAAAATGGTAAATAAAAGGAACGAATGATAATGATAAAGTGATATAGAACAAAATTGCGATGAAAAAAAAAGATAGGATGAAATAGAATGAAAGATGAAAGAATAATGTGGAACAAAGTGGAGATGGAAAAAGAATGATAGGTGACGAAATAGTGGTGGGAAAAATGATAGGAGATGAAATGGCGATGAAAGGACGAAATGATGATGAAAAAGCAGTGTAGAATGAAATGGTGATAGAAAAAATGATATAGGACGAAATGGAGATGAAAGAATATATGGAATAAAATGGAGATAGAAAAAGAATGATAGGAGATGAAATAGTGATGGAAAAAAATGATGGAACAGCATGGCATAATAAGAAAGAAACAAAAAAACCATAAAGCCCAAAAAAGAAGTGAACAGCCCAACCAAAAAAAAGAAAAAGATAGTTAGTTAAAGAAAATAAATTTCCAATTCCAAAAGACCCAAAATAATTTACCATTTACTAAAATATTGATGCCAAAGTTTCAAAGACGTTAAAAGGTGGAAAAAACTACTTACAAAAAAGTGACAAAGTGGAGTAACGAATAAAATGAAAAGAAGGGAGAATAGTTAATATTAATGAAGGGAAAAAACGTTAAGAAATATGTTCAACTTACTGAAAGCTAAGGAAGCAAAATAAAATCACGTAAATAAAAATAAACTAATAAATCTGATGAGTGACGCAATACAAATAAACCATGTGACACTGGTGTTTCGTAGTAATTTTATATATAATTTTACCCAAATTTTCAAAAAAAAAAAAATATAAATTATAGTCACAATCAAAAATATAAGAAATATTATCAAAAATATAATAAAAAAACTTAATTATTATACTTTATAATGTTTAAATAAATAAAATTTATATAAAATAAAATGAATAATAATACAAATAATTTTTTTTAGAATTTTTTAGAAAAAGTAATTGGCAAAAAATCATATAAAATATAAATTTTTAAAAAGATAATTTAAAGGGCAAATTAGTAAAACTTATTTGATTTGCTATAATAGTTTTTTAATATATACTAGTGTTCACCTGTTGTCTACGACAACAGTTAATATGTAATTCCGGCCAGAATTAAAAGATCTGCAAAGAATTTCCTTTTTTGGAAATTTGAGCAACACAATTTTTTTAATTTCTCTGAAAAGTAACAGAAGACAAAATTTCCTTTTTTTGGAAATTTGCGTAACCGATAATTTCCTTTTATGGAATCCTGTGTAACCCAAAATTTCAGTTTTTCGCCAGAAATAAAATTCCTTTTTTTGGTTTTGTGTAACATTGGCGACGAATAGGAGTAGGGTTACACAATTCAAATGACTTATTTATATGGTTAATCTAAACATAACGCCCACGTGATTGCAGTGTTTTTTAATATATAAAAGATTAGTAATGTTTACTAATTTTAATAAGACTTTACTTATTTATAATAAAGATTACTGTCTTTTTATTAATGATTTTTACTTTACTTTTTTTTTAAATTCTATTGGTTAATTAGCCAAAAAGGAAAAAAATTATAATAATGTAATATAAAATTTTCTTTTATAATAAGATCAGCAAATAACTTATCTTATAAGTAAATGGAATTCTGTTTTAACATAAATTACAAATTAAATAATATCTTATTATATTTTTAAAATTTAATTTTACCGTAAAAAAAAAGAGATTTACTAATTTGCCTTTTGAATAAATAATTTTGGTTAAATTACTTTTCTAAATATATATGTTATCCAAATTATTTTGAGCTGCCATAATTATAAGTAAAATTCCAAATTCAATTAAGGCATCCCAAATTATTTTAGTACTTTATATAGTAAATTACATATAAACTGAATGAATTATTATAGCATTCCAAATTATAATTATGGCATCTTAAAATAATAATTTGAACAGCATATATATTTCTAAAAATTTATATTTTATGCAATTTTTTCCAATCATTTTTTTAAAAAAATTATTTGATTATTATTCATTTCACTTAATCACTTTACATAGATTTTATTTATTTGGACATTATAAACAAAATGATCAAGTTTTTTTACATTTTTGATGATATTTTATATTTTTAATTATAACCATAATTCAAATTTTCTTTGGAAATTTGGGCAAAATTATATAATTATATAAAATCTACTGGTAAGTTAAAATCACTTTAGATTAAAATTAATTTTGTACAAAAAAAATATAATAATGAAATTTTTATAAATAAAATAAAAATAAAATAAAAATAAAAGTATTCAAAATACACTTATTAAATATTATATCAATTACTAGAATTACACCACAATTTGTTGATAAAATAAGATCAATAACTTAAATAAAAAAATATTTTTATTTCTGCAGTTATCTCAAAAAGTGAACCTTCTAGATTTTAGTTTAATACAGCATTTAACTTTATTTATATAAATCAATTTTTTACTTGGTAGATAATATAAATAATTATTTTGATTAAAATATCAAAAAAAATATTATTATGATAACTATAAAAATTGTGTTTTTTTATTTTCTTTTAAATATTAAATAGGTAAAAATTTTTGTACTTCCCGATTTCCTGTTTAATCGCCTTAAACCGGTAAATCGATAGTGTAATATTATAGGTAAATGGTAAATGACACATTCAGAATTCCGATATAGTTTATAGAAAACGTGATAATTTAGCCGATATGTAGGATAAGAAAGTAAAAAAACGAATAGAAGTTATCTCACGTATTCATTTTTCATTCATTTACCCTTATTACTTTTTGTCTTGTTTCTTTTTTTCTTTTTTTCTACATAGAATTTTATTCAATACAGAGAAAATCACAGGAAAATAATGTCGACTGACAGTAAAAAAAAAAAAGAAAAACGTGAGAAACTTGAAGGGTTAATAGCTAAACGTAGAGCCGAAGGAGCTAATGAAGAAGACAATGACAAGTTGTATTTTTATTCGTGTTTCAATTATTTTAAAGTGAAGCCGTTTTTTTTCAAAACGACTATATGAGTTACTATCAGAGTTATGTCACGTAAAATTATTCAATATTCTTAAATATTTCTAATAAAGTAGAAAGAATAAACAGAAATCAGCCACTAGCACTCCAAGTTCTTCTAAAACAACAACACCCACTAAAGCTTCAAAAGCACGAACTTCCCCCACTGCAAAACCTAAGCAACCTCCACCCAAGCCTAAAGGAGGTAGACCACCACGTCAAGATCAATATGAAGATGATGGTTTCATTGTAGATGATAATGAAGAAGGTGTTATCTTAAAAATTGTTTTTTACTCAAAAGAATAAACTAAATGTATCGATTATAAACAAAATAGAGGAAGAGGAATCTGAAACAGAGAGCGATGATGCTACTGAAGAAGAATTTGGATCATCTGAATCTGGTTCTGACGATAGTAAGAAGAAAAGGAAGAAAGGAAAACCAAAACAAAAGAATAATGCTAAAAAGAAGGTATTCGTTGGGTGTTAATTTGTTTTATATGAGTAGAAATTGTGGTAAATTATTGTTTTTTATTATAATTGATAGCAGAAGAAAAAGACACAGAAGAGGAGAAAGGATGAGGACAGTGACGATGATGATTCCGAAGATGATTCAAGAAAAAAATCGAGTAAGAAAAAGAAAGGTGGATCAGACTCCGAGGATTTGGATCCAGAAAAAGAAAAAAATGATTTACGTAAGCTTATTTAAATTATATTATGTTAATAAAATAATTACATATTATTTTATTAACCTGATTTATTTTTTTTTTAAAAAAAAAAAATACCAGTGGAAGATCTTGAAGTCATCGACTCGGGATCCATCATGAAAGGGAGGACAAGAGGAAAAAAGATAGATTTTACAGGAATGGTAAAATATAATTCGACTATACAAATATTATTGCTGGTTATTTCTTGTTTAGGCTTCATACACAAGCGTACATATCATTTTATTTGAATGTTTTTAGGATCCTTACGACGACGAATAAATATTATGATATAAGAAAACAACAATATTTCGACTCTTTTTGCTATAAGGTTTTAAATCGCTTAATTCTCGTTATTCAAGGAAGGTTAGTTTTGGATATAAAATATTCTTTTTTTTGAAAAGTATTAGAATTCAGAATTCAGTTATAAATTTCCGTAAAACAAGTAAATAATAAAATGAAAAAAAAAATTGCAAAAAACTAAATCAATCAGTACAAAATTTCTTGTATTTTATTAAATTTAATTATTTAATTTTGGTTATTATAAATTAAACGATTAAAGAAGCTTAATAAATTATCACATTATCGTTATTTTTGCTAATATCAATTGGAATGTGCATTCTATATTTAAGAAAATAAATGCTAATTTGAAATATCTAACCTTCCGACCACTCATAATCTAAATTTTCAAAATCTTTTTATAGCGATTTCATCCATTTACAAGCCGTCTATCGTACGAATCTATCCAGCATATACTTATCCCAAGTCTTTTGCACATTTCTTTTAGTTAAATGTTAAGGTGAATATTGGAGATAGAAATTTTTCTATTTTCAAAAAATAAAAGACGCGTTCAAAACAATCACCATTTTTAAAAAAGCATCGATAACACGCCGGCAGATATGACCAAGCAGTGACCAAGCGCATATATATACTGTAAAATTATGAGATAGATAAAATGTATAGAATACTACTTTTCTTCGGATAATTTTTAGTATTTCTATGAATCAAAAGGGTTTAACGAAAAAAAAACGCCTTATCATATGTTCAAATTATTTAAATTCGAATTTCATTAGGTAAAGAGCTCAACGTATATATGACACGTGACTTCAGATTCCTCAAAAGACGAAATCATATCGTATTAATTTTTAATAATAAATGATGATTTTAACTATATTTCTTGTACACCAATTTATAATCTTCTATCACAACTTTTCCACCGATTCCTAAATAACTGATATCTTCCAATACATGAATAACAAAAGGTTTAACGATGTTAATAAGCATGTCATCTCCAAGAGTATCATAAACGGAGATTGCATATATATCTATTAATAATAAAATAAAAGTCATTATAACAAATGACAACTAATAATAAAATTTTCTTACAAACTATATCGTACCATAAACTTCCACAAAACCAAGTTCATTCCAAAGTTTCTTCATTTTTTCAACGGTCAATTCAGCAGTAATAAATTCAGAAATCTCGATTACATTATCTTTAAAAAGCATATAAAAATTGTCAAGAAATATACATATCGTAGCAAATATATGTACGCTTTCTGCTTTTAGAAAGAATATTGTTGGATAACTTTGTTTTAATTGTAAACTTTGAGTTTCTGACACTGTTGGAAATGATTTTATTTGGCATTCTTCTGTGCAGTTGTGCTTTATTAAATGTCTTTTCCGCCAAAATTCATTCCAATGTACTCCTCCTCTTCGAATTGTTTCTGTAGTATTTTGTTGTTGTTCTTGTTGATTTTGTTGTTGTTGGCTATTGGAAGAAGTAGAAGTCCCTGTCTGTATGGAAGTATTCTGATGTTGAACGCGACGTTGCTGTTGAGTTCGATTTCCTTGGTATCGCGAATTTGTATGAGTGGATCTTATCATTTTCGTCTTAACATGAAAATAAGCCGAATAAAAATATTTTATAGAAATTATTTTTCTGGGAAAACAAAAATTCGATCCTGATTGGGTTGAGTTCGAATTCAATATTTCAATCTGCTAATTTTTCTTGCTTATGTAAGTAAGAAATGTTATTCTGTATGTCACCACGTGATCGTTTATTTTACTATGTATTAAATATGACATCTCGTGTATATTTAATAAGCCCATTTCACGAAGATCCTGTTATCTTTTTTACATGTTATCAATGTCGTCAACAAACCATTCTGCATTACTTCACATTTCATTACCTACTCTTTCCTCTATAACAGATTATCATAAAGAATTGATCAATTCATCAGTTGTTCAAGCTACAAATTTATTAACAATATTAGTATCTTGTCCTGAATTAGATTATTACATAAATGATCCCTTAGCTGGTTGGACTCAAGTTCAAAACTTATTAAGTACATTATACGTTTCAGGAACAAAAACGGCTTTTGAAACTGACAAACCATTTTTTAATATTGACGTTATATTTGAGAATTGGTGTGGATATCAAGTTGAATTGTCAAATGATAGGCAATTTGATGTTTTATTTGGAACTATAAATGGTATAATATTTTTTTAAAAACGAACAAAATTTCTCGTATGATTAATTTAAATTGATGATTTATCCTAATAGAAAAGGAGCGTTTACAACTATTCAATGAAACTCGTAAAAAATTTTCATTATCGGAATTACCAATATATATTCTCGAGTTAAAAATGCAACCACCTTCAATTGAACCGATCGCTTCTAACGAGATTTCTTTGCCGCTTAGCAATCCAAAAACATTTGATCATGTTGCTGTTGGCGGAACATTCGATCATTTACATGCCGGACATAAAATCCTTTTAACAATGACAGCTTGGATAACTGGAAAAAGGTTAATTTGTGGTGTTACTGGTAAGTTAATAAATTTATTCCATAAATCTACGTGTTATGTTTAATTTTCCTTTTGTTTTCAACTTAGATGATATTATGCTCAGAAATAAAAAATTTAAGGAACAATTAGAGTCAATTGATACGCGTATTACAGGAGTTCGACAATTCTTAGAAACAATTCGTCGAGGTTTGAATTATGAGGTTTGTTCCCTAAATAAATTATTATTTAACAAATTTTTTATAACCATTCTTATTATTATTTAGGTGGTTCCGATTTATGATGCATATGGTCCAACTATAATAGATGCTGAAATTCAAGCCATAGTTGTTTCCCAAGAAACGAATAGCGGTGCTAATTCTAGTAGGAATTTTTGATTTAATAAATTATTAAAAAAGAACATTCATTCATGTTTTCTTTTTTTTTACAGTTAACGATGAACGTGTAAAAAAAGGATTTCAACCTCTCCATATATCGATAATTGAAGTTATTTCTTCTTCAAATCCATCTCTTTCTAAAGATGATCTAAAAAATCTCAAGCTTAGTTCAACATATTTACGTGGATTACTATGCAAAAAAGATTAATTATTTATTCCTGCTTTAATCTAGAAAATATTTAATCTAGAAAATTAAATTTGGATTACAGGATTGTTTACAGAATTCGTTATTATGTATATGGAACATTATCTTTTATACAAAATACTTTATATTAATTAATTATGATATTAATTCCCTTAATAAATTACATCGAAACTTTTTTTGTAATCGTTACATGATTTGTGCTCTAAAGTGACGTTGTAATTTATTGGCTTTAATACCAATACGTGTATCATAATTTTGTTGGTGCCTTTTCTCACGTGAAGCGATGAAATGAGGTCGATAATGTTTATACATATGATCATTAGTGATTAATATTCCTCCAGATTGTCTATACTTAGAATTATCGCCGTATTCTGTAATAAACCGATTTATAATCGAATCTCGTTCCTATAAATTAGGACGAATTTTTTAAGAGATTGTTATAAAAAACGCGAAAATTTTTTTAAAAAAAGAATTACCTCAATAGGGCGCAAGTTTTGTCTATAATATCTACGTAAAAGTCGATGACCAAGTCTTTTACCAGATGGCAATACCAGTTCCATATCTTCTTCATATATCATACTAATAAAAGAAAATATTGACTTTGAATAAAATTTCTTAAATTACATTTCGAGTAAAAATATTTACATTTTAGGAAGTTCATCATCATTTTCATCATCATTTTCGGCTTCATCATCACTAACAAACACCCAATTATCATCGTTATCTGCATCAGGATAACTGGAAGTAAAATCATAAAATTCGTCAAATTCCATAATATCTTCTTCAGTTTCATAAGCTATTTTACAGTGACCTTTATCTACCTAAAAGTAAATCCTATTTTAGCGTATAATATTCTTTAATACTAAATTAATTATAAAATAAATGTAAAATCAAACCATATGCCTTCTAACAGATTCAAGGCTTTTCGTTCCCTTTGAACAATATAAACAAACATTTCCAATAGAAATTTTTTCACCCAAATATTTAATTAATCCATGAGAATCAATCAAATACTCTATTTCCGGTATGAAAAAACTATGAATTTTTGTCATATGTCGCATATTTTCATCAAAAGATTCAAATTTTTGTGTACAAAATAGGCAATCAGACTCATCTAGTGCTATTGCTACTTCAATTTTTTTGTCAATAAGTTCATTCTATAAAAGATTGAAAAAAAATATAAATTAAGTATAAATAAATTATCACTAAAACAAATATTTTACCTCATTCGGTATTTGTGGAGTTATCCTGGTACTAATTACATTTTTTTTCGTGTGAGTTGTTCCTATAAAAAATAATAACAATTATAAAACAAAATAATCATTTTTTAGTTAGGTGATCAATGGATTACCTTCAAAGGATGCTTTTGCATCAGCAGCTTTATGTTTATTAGATTGTAAATGATTTGCATAAGCATTCTCAGAATAATAAATTTTACTATGATTTTTTGAAAAGAAGGAAATAACATGAATTAATTTGAACAAGAAAAATTATTATCCAAATTAGAAAGGTTCTTACTTGCAAGCAGTGCATTCTGCAGAGAAACTAGCCTTTCTCTCGGCATCGTTACTTTGCGCTTGTTGAGCTAAACAGAAATTTCTAGTTAGCTTCTTTCAATAACAAACGATCTAAACGAATGTTAACAAACATTGAAGTATTAGTACCTAAAACCTTCTGATTAAATACTTCAGAGGTAACAGGTGGTAATTCCGCAACTTTTCTTTTCAAGTTGTAACGATGCCAGTCAGTTCCATAATGAACTCTTTGAGACTCAGCAGTAGTGAACACAACTTGACAAGCCAAACAAGTAAAAAGTTGAGATCGAGGATGGTTTACGACAGTAGCAGCGGACATTGTTTAAATGACGAAGAAATAGCTGTTAGAATACGTAGAATATGATAAGCAATTGCTTGTAAATAGAATTTATAATAGATCAAGGCAAGTTGGGAAAGAAAGATATTTTGTGATTAGCATTACTATGATCTAAATTTGGCGGAAAATTAGTGGATTGTGGTCTTGTGGTTCTAAACGTATAAATTGGATCATCAGACCGGACACTGTAAGGATCTTCCAATCGGATAACGAAAACGCGATATATGTCATTTTAAAAGCCATAGATTATCAATTTCTTTTACTACCGCTGTAAATTATGACGACATGGATAAAATTAAAAATGATAATTATTTTTAATCGCTTAAGGCTATGCTGCATATCATTCAATTAAACGTGTCTTAAAAGTAAAGCATGTACATCTTTAATCTTGATCATCAGATTTTTTGGTTAAATTTTTCAGAATGGTTTATACCCCAAATTTAATTTCTCGACAATTTTTCGGAAAAATTGTGTTAACTCGAAGTAATTACCTTAAGAATTTTGTCGTAAGAAACGTTAACAGAAACAGTATTCAATTTATTGTACCAACAAACCGTAAGTTTGCTACTTCTATAGAGAGTAGTACTTCAGGTGCTGAAATTCCAGCCAAAAAACATGCTCCAACAAAAAAAGTCGAGTTTACAGCTGATAAATATACATATTTACATAGAAATCCTAATTTCAAGGAGGTGGATATATTTGTTATTTCTCATAATATTAAATTGACAAGCAAATTGAATTTTTAAAATTTATTAGCTTACCCAAGACGACATCAAATTTTTCGCTTCAATTTTACCTGCAAATGGTTTAATCATTGACAATGAAGAAGAATTAATGCCTTATAATGTTGATTGGATGAAAAAATATCGGGGAAAGTCACGTTTAGTAGCAAGACCTAAAACTACACGTCAGATTTCTCAAATACTCAAATATTGTAATGAGAATAAACTGCCTGTTGTACCGCAAGGTGGTAACACGGGACTTGTTGGTAAGTAGAGGAATTATGCTACGTGTTTAAGTTGAACATTTAATTTAATATTTGTATGTTGCAGGTGGTGGGGTACCAGTTTTTGACGAAATTGTTATAAGCACTAATAATATGAATCAAATTAGAAGTTTTGACCCAGTTTCGGGTGAGGATAAATAAATCATTTTAACTTATTAACAGTAGAATTTATATGCTAAGGATTCATTTTTATAGGCATTCTCACTTGTGATGCCGGGTGTATTCTGGAAGTTCTTGATAATTATTTAGCTGAACAAGAACAAGGTTATATGATGCCACTAGATTTAGGTGCAAAGGGCAGGTAAATTTTAAGACATTGTTTTTTTTAAAGACATATTTTACAATGTTCTCATCTTTCCTCAGTTGTCATATTGGTGGAAATGTAGCAACAAATGCTGGCGGTTTAAGATTATTAAGATATGGATCCCTTCACGGTACTGTTTTGGGCCTGGAAGCGGTATTGCCAGATGGAACTATTTTGGATAATTTATCCACACTTCGTAAAGATAATACAGGTTAGTTCTTAAAAGTAAATTTTCTTAATATTCCTTATTCAAATTGATTTTATTTGTTTAGGTTATGATATAAAACAACTGTTTATTGGAAGTGAAGGAACACTCGGAGTCATTACAGGTGTTTCTATATTGACACCACCAAAGCCCAAAGTAAATTGACATTAAACATATTAGTTACATACTTTTATTATAAATTTATTAATTTCTAATTTGGATGTAATTTAGGCAGTTAATGTCGCTGTTCTTGGTGTGAGCACATTCCAAAATGTTCAAAAAGCATTAGTTACATCAAAAAATAAACTATCAGAAATCCTGTCAGGTGAAATCTCAATCATAAGACGACTTTCGTTCTTATAGCCTAAATAATTATTTTGTGTTCCATTTTTTTAATATTAGCGTTTGAATTCTGGGATTCTGATACCTTGAAATTGTCAAAAGCACATAATATCCAAGGAACGAAATTTCCGCTAGAAGATAATTATCCATTTTATGTATTAGTCGAAATAAGTGGATCAAACAAATACCATGATGATGATAAATTGCAAAATTTTCTAGAAGAACTCTTAGCAAATGAAATAGTTAAAGATGGTGTTGTAGCACAAGATGAGACACAAATGTCAACTTTATGGTCGTTACGTGAAGGTATACCAGAAGCGTGTAGTAAAGCTGGGGCTGTTTATAAATATGATATTAGTATTCCATTATCCGTATTTTATCAAATGGCTGAAGATATGAGAAATAGACTACAATCCGCTGGTGTATTTGGTGAGGATAATTTGGTTAGCAATGTAATAGCTTATGGACATGTCGGCGATGGTAAGATTTTTTTTAAGCGAAGAATTTTTTTGAATTATAATAAATAAACGTAATTTTTTTACTATTTTAGGAAACCTACATTTAAACATAGTAGCTAAATCTTATGATCCTAAAGTTACTAATTTAATTGAACCTTTTATATACGAATGGACAGGTATGTCGTAAGAATTTTATCGTACATTCGCGAAATATTTTGATATAAATTTTTTTTTTTGTGATAGAACAACATAATGGATCTATTTCAGCAGGTAATTTATTAATTTATATAATTTCTGTTAATAACACGTATTAATATTAATAAACTCCTTTACATAGAACATGGTCTTGGACTTATGAAAGCAAATTATTTGAAATACTCAAAATCTTCTTCAATGATTTCGATCATGAAACAAATTAAACAAAGTATTGATCCTAATGGAATTATGAATCCTTATAAATTCTTACCGACACAATAAATAATCAAAAGTGAAAAGTATTTTCATTGCGCAATTCACAATAAATGTTTAATAATTATGTTGAATTCAATAAATACTTTAAATCTCTTTTAGATGCATATACTAATAAATTTAATTTAAATATATGAAATTTGAGAGAACAAAATTTCGAGCATAAATATTTTGTTTATTGACTGTGTTTATACAAGGATATGATAATTTATCATTACAAATTTTAGTAGCGCTAGTATATACAGGAATTTATAACTTTCATGTTTTCTTATACTACAACCATCTGTCAGTTTTTATAATATGCACAACACATTGATTGTACTTTTGAAAATGTTAATAAGTACAAATATATCTAATATAACAAAAAAATCCTTATAATTTTCAAGTTTCTATAATAATTTGATATATTTCTCGTTTGTCTTGCTATTTGTTTCACATACCCACAACAAAAATTATCAGTATAGCTTCGAATTTTTTCACTAACTGACACCTTTCAATTGTTTAAAAAAAATAATGGTTTGTTATTTAATTTTTAAGCGATAGAAGGTTAGGGGGTATTGGGGTTCTAATAAAATAAAAATCAGAGATTAAAAAAAGTTTCATTTTATATTTCTTTTTTTTTTAAAAAAAAATAACTTACCATGTAGTGTTGCTTATTGTTTTTCCATCTATTGTTAACACCGTTTCTCTGAATAACTATAGCCATTGGTGAACATCCACTTAGAGGTAGTCCCTCTTTTGCACTATTATGAGGGTTATTCGGTTTTTTGATTTTAACTTTATTTTGTTTCAAAATATGTTAATAGACATGAACGAATAAGTGACACCTCTATAAGTGCACCTATAAGTGCACGGTGGGTGGGCCTGGTCCCAACTTATAAGAGCTCTTAATATTTTACTCTCTATTAATGCACACCCTCTCTAAGTGCACCGTCTACTATTTTTTTACCATGGTCCAAGTGGGGGTGCACTAAGAGAGTATACCTTTTTTTTTTTTTATACTTATGGGAAGTTACCTCAACAATCACGTGGTCAGTGACGAATCAGACAGCCAATTCCAACGTGATCTTAATGAAGCCTGATAACTGGAGGAGATGACAATTCATGACATACTCGTTAGCGTAGTAAAATAAACCTAGAGGAGATGATCGGCATAAGATATATAAATGGGACTGACGCGATGCGCTTTATCATCAAAAATTTGATACGGGACATACAGTAGTAATAATTAATTATTATTAATAAAAATCCGAAAGTCTAATTAGCCTGGAGCAAAAAAAGATTATTAATTTTATAGTAAAATTAAAAAAGACAATAATAAAATTTTAAACTTACAACTCTGGTAATGTTCTACGAACTTTATGTCCTGCACGACGATCTGGCATTTCTATGATATATATATATATATATATATAATTTTTTTTTTTTTAGAGTTCTCATAATCCACTCATAACTCATAATCCACTTATTAATCCATTCATGAACTTAAAAATATTAGAGAAACCACGTGTCATGATTGTTTAGGAGGACTTTGACATGGCAAGTTGGTTATATGACACGCCTAGAAAATATCAATTAGTAAAAACCAGCTGCTAAAGATGATATAAAGAAAGGACTTGCAGATTCAAAAAAAAAATTGAAAGCATATTTTCTAGTATCATTAAAGAAAGCACTAAATGTCTTCTCTGTAAATTTACTGTAAAAAGGGTTCAATTAAGGATTTATTTGTTTGTTTTATATGAATTATTGTGGCGTGTTAAATTGTAGTAGTACTTAGTGTGTTAAATTGTAGTAGTATTTTAGTGTGTTAAATATTAGAAATACGTATAAATCGTATAAATATTTGGATGTTCCACGTGATTTCACGACTTGCTAAAATGGGTAGCATTTACTATTTATAAATTTTGAAGTTCAGATAACATTAATAAGGCATCAAGGAAATCAATATACAAAATATTAAATAGTTTTTTTTTTATATCATTAAATAATAAATTGGTTTGATTTATCAATTTTAATCTTGGGGTGAGTCACATTAAAATATTAACGGTAAATCATTGAATAATAAATAAATTGGTTTGATTTATCAATTTTAATCTGAGTCGAGTCAAATTAAAATACAACGCTAAAATGAATTTAGTATATACATAAGTTCTTATAAAAAGATGTCACATTTTAAATAATGATATTTTAACCAAATACAAAAAAAAGAAATGGAATCATAATTTTCATACTCAAAAAAAAAAAGTCTCATTTTCATTTCTTTTTGAAAAGAGAACTTACGGCATCAGCAGCTTCAGTAAAGAAATTTTTACCATCCCCATCAGAGTCACCACCAAATTTAAGTAATAAACCTTTAACATCATTCTTAAATTTATCATCTCTAAAAATATTATTTCTTAATTCTTCTTCAATATTTTTTAATAAAGATTCTTCGAATTGATCTATAAAAGGTCTAATAAATTTCGAAATTCTAGCTGGTAATTTAGCGAAAAGTCTATCAATAAAATTTCCTTCATCCTTTCCTTCTCCAAAAATTTTTAATATCTTTGAAAGTTTCTTTCCACCTTCTTCTTCACCAGTATCGCTACTTTTACTACTTTTTGAAAATATTCCACGAGATTGAACATCATCATTTTTTTTATTTTTATCAAAAATAGATTTTCCTACTGTACCAATCATATTTCCTTTAACATGTTGAGGTACTTTTTCACTAACTTCTTTATTAATTTCTTCTCCTGAATTATGTACGGGAGGTTGAATAAGTTCTATAATTTGTCTAATAATACCTTCTTTACCTTCTTTCAAAAATCCAAAATCAAAGTTTTTGAAAAAATTTTTAATATCATCATCATCATCATCATCATCATCATTAGCGAAATCCCATACAGCTTTTTTTGATTCAGTAACAATAATATCAGTAATTTTATCAGGTGAATCAATTGTTACTTCATCTATATGTCTTCTTGTATCTTCACGAATATCTTCCTTAAAATCATCCGATAATTTATCAGTTAAGGAAGTTACTACTTTAAGTACATTTTCAAGAATTGTATCATTTTCATCATCTCCATCGTCAACTTTATTTTTAATAAAATCCATAATCTTATCAGGAAGTTTTTCTACTATTATTTCTTTAAGTTTTTCCAAGTTTCTTTCAACATGGTCTTTTAATTTATCCCGATGGTTATCAATATAAGTTTCAACTGCTTTTGCAACCCTGTCACGCATTATTATTTATTTTAAAATAATAATAAAAAAGTTTATATTTAAGTTATTTTTAAAAAGTGAAAAAAAAAAAAAAAAATTTCTTTCGAGGGAAAGAAAGTTTTAGAAAAGTAATATGATTAACATTTATATATACTTTGTGTTCCATGAGAAAAATCTAATCTGGCGTTTAATTTTTTGTGTTATATAGACCTTTCGGTATTAATGACATGGCTTATTGATAATAAATTTCCTTCTTTAGTTTACAACCGAAAAAAATATACTCTTTGTAGAACAATCTTGTACAATTATGGCCTATTAATTTGTAATCACAAATATGGAAAGATTAGTTGCTAAGCATTGCACTCTAATTACGTTTTTCTTATGTTACAAAGTCGATCGAACATAATCTTTTCAGCCAATTAAATCATTATAATATTTAAAGTATAAAAGATTATGAATGAGACTAACTAATATTGTGTAAGCAAATCAAACATTTATTACATTCTCAAGTAATCAAGTAATCGTGAATTCGTTAAATAAATTTTATTCCGATTCAAGGTATATTAATCGATTCACGTGTTCCTCTGTATATTAGCCAATAATCAGTTTTTATCATATTATTCGTAAAGAGTTTTCCGTGTGTTCCCTTATCATTTACCCCTTAGTAAAAAAAAAAAAAAAAAAGTTGTAATATTTAATAAGCAATTTAATCATTTTTTTTTCATTTGTACTTTTTCCCTTATAAATGAAAATCAAACAAAAAAAAAAAATTTATGCATAAAAAAAAAATGAAACCAAAATTCGGTTATTTCTTAAAAGTTGATTTAAATTGCGCCAATAGTGCTTGCTCATCGGACTTATGCAATTATCTATTTTTGCTATTTAGTTTCTGGTTTGGTATAATATGATACGCATTATGATATCACAAATGTATGTTAATCGCAATACTTATAATTTAATGTAATACTTGTAATACTTTTTATGCTTGTTGGCGGTTGAAATTTATTATGTAAATATGTAAAACGTGAGGAGAATCCACAAACGTGAATCATTAAGTATGCATAAATAGAGTTGAAGATAAACATTTCATATTCGTTATATTTTTAAATTCCATTAAACTATAATCGTTTTTTTTTTCGTTTTTTTTTAAAAAAAAATGAAATGAAAAAAAGAAAAAAGAAAAGAGAAGAAAAGAGAATCTGAAATAAGGTATATCAAATGAGTATTTCTAAAGTTTTGATTTGTTGATCAAAATTCTTTTAGATTTGATTTAAAAAAATGGGAATATTTATAAAAGATAGTAAATATGAAAAAAAAAAAATCATTTTCATTTCCAAATAAAATTTCGGGTGACTTTTTTTACATTGCCATAAAGGTTTACAACAATGAACTATAAAACTGCGATGAATCTAAAGCAAATAAGGAAATTAAAAAGGAAATTATTTATCCGATTTCCCGATTTCCCGACTTTCCGATTTCCCGTGGAATAACAAAACGGAAAAGAATAAAAAAGCGAATAAAAACTAAAAACGTATAAAAAGTTAAAAATGAATAAAAACGTATTAAATATTAAAAAATTTATTAAAATATCATTTTTTTTCTTCTTCTTCTTCTTCTTCTTTTCATCGTTCTTTTTTTTATTATTATAAAAACCCTTTTGTTATCTCAAAAATTTTTTATTAATACTTTAATACTTGTAATATTCTTTTAATACAGTATAACGACTATACGATATAACGAATTTTCATGGTAAAACGGATAAAGCGATTTTTTAAGGGTTTATCTTTATAAAATAAACATATAAAAAATCGGTATATAAAACTTATAAATTTTGATATAAGGTTATATCGAGTTTTAACTGTATTAACAAAACACTTTTGGATAGTTTGTTGTTTTACGGGACTTGCTGAAAAATCATTGAACTATTATTGAACTTTATGAAATAAAATCACGTATCGCCAAAATATCAACGTGGACAGACCGCTTAACATGGCTTAACATGGCTTAACATGACATAACCCGACTTTAACTAAATATATATTTTAAAATATCTATCGTTCTTGAAGTAGCTTTGAAGATGAAAAGAATGGTTATAATGAAAATTATGAAAGTTTGAATCAGCTGATGCTTGCGTTTCCACTTTGGTGGTATATGTTGTACTTCAGATGATTTGCGTCAGATGATTGATAAACTCAAGATATCTCTGTGATTTAAATGCTATCCCTTCAATGTGTGAAATATGTGAAATGAGTGAAATATCATAATAAATTCGGGTAAAATCATAAGTAAACTTCAAATCACCTCGTGAATAATTTAAATAATTTGATGATATTTTATGTAAATTATGATTGAACGAAAAAAAAATTACGTTACGTCATACTTAAAAATTTAAAGTTTTTTATAATACTTTTATAATACGATTCATATTTTATAATATTTTATGTGATTATTTTTAAATATCTAATGCAAATGTCACCTGAGAACACCTGAGGCGCGAATTTACGCAACACACACATTAATACAGTACCGTATGTATATTTATATATATACATATATTGATATTATTAAAACTGTAATTAACAATATATATATATATATAATATATATCAGGTTTTTTTTATTATTATTATTTTAATTTATTGAAATAAATTAAATTCAATTTAAATTCATACATAAATTATAATATATACATACATACATAAAAAAAAAAAATTTTTTTTTTTA